GTTTGGCATTGCACAAGGTCATGTTTTCTCTGACTGTTAATGACGTCTTAACACTAAATTCATTGGATGTTGGATGTGTACTGATTGATATTTTAGTCTTAGATACATGATTTTTTTTATTAGTTGTTACTGACTTTTAACTAGCTATCAGTAACTGCGAGTACTCTCAGATCTGTACATAGTGTCCTTTTTGTTGTTAGGGATGAGGGATGGATAAATACCCTTCCATGTCTGGTCTGTGTTTATGTTTGATGATTTTCTGCTTTGTATCAATCTGATGAGTTAAGCCTTTTTCAACTGATTTTTATAGTTTTTTCTTATGTTGTGCTGTTACACCACTGTCCCAGGTAAAGGGAGGGTTGAGCGTTCACAAACATGTTTAACCCCGCCATTACTTAAAAAAATGCTTATATCTATATAAATTGCAATTTTTAGTCATATTTAGCCATTTAAAATGTAGTTCAATTTTACTGTTGGAACTTCGATGTGCACATGAATCTGTCATACTACGAATTTTAATAAAGATGGGAAGACGTTTTTAAAATTGCTCTTGTGTGAAATAAATTCAGTGGAAACTATTCCTATGTATACCTCTTTCACATTTCATGCACTTCGGCGCTAGTTTATATTTCCCATTAAGAATTAAACTTATCCTAACCCTTCTGAAAAAGAATACCTCTTGTGTTTTGTTGTAGCATGGGTTTTTAAACAGATATACAGGAGAAATTACAAAATAGCATGTCATGAATCTATAAATAAAACAACATTCACATTCCATATCAAATTATTATAAATAGTTATTGGATTGAGAAATATGATCATAAGATAAGATAAGATAAGATAAGAATTTTATTAATCTAATCAAGAACCCATAAAGGGCATCATTTTACAACAATATAATGCACAATATGATTGGGAAAAAAAAAACAAGAACCTAATCATGTTATGGACAGGATCAGAGCCTAACACATCATATGTCTTACATAACTATTACAATAATTTCATAATAATAAAATATTATTTTATATATTTTGTATCCACCTGGATCTTATTTCTAAACACTGAATAATATAATTGCCTAGGCACATGAGAGTTGGTAAATGCTCATTTGTGAACAGCCAGAAATATTTTTTATCCTTGGGTAATTCTTTAAAATTAGTACAAAAACTGTTTACTTTATCCCATAATAATTTTCTCTGTTCGTTATATAAAGGACAACTTACTGAAAAATGGGTCTCATCTTCAATAGAATTTGATCCATGTGATAGGCAGTGATATATATACCTTCATTGTCCGTAAAATATGCTATAAGGTTTTAACACTTCCCTAAAGTTATTATGTTGTTTCTTAAATGTACTCGATCTTTCCTTTAAAAGCATACAGTCTTGTATATATAAGTGTCTTTGCCTAAAATTGGGTTGGATTTTTTTGTGTTGTTTGGTTGCTGTCTCGTTGAAGTTGACATTGAACCTTCTTTTATTCATGTACAACTTAATAAACTGTCAGAAACAATAACAACGCTTACTTTACAACAGAAAACAACATAATAGATCAGAGCAGGATCGAATCCGTGTTTTTAACATTAATCTATCTCCATATCGTAACCTTCAGTTTAAAATACCTCGGAAATCCAACGTGTTATGTGCATATTAAGGATGTGATGTAAGAAATGCTATTAAAATGACAAATGGCAACCCTCTAATAAAGAAAAAGATAACCATCGACGAACCCAAATCATTGCACGTTTGATTGAAGTCACTATGTTATCTTTTATCTAAACTTCAGGACAAGTTAAACTAACTTTTGTGAGTTAAAGAAAAAATATCAAATATCAAATATCAAGTCACACAAGTTGCATAATAAGATTTTTAAATAATACTTATAAAACCAACTAGCAGCAGTTACTGTTTAAAAGTAATTAAAAAATACCAAAAAGGTAATAAAGAAAAAGCAGGAAACATCTGTGAATGATTTTATCAGTATAAATAACATTTATAACAATAGATGCTAGCAAATAAAATCATGCACTTACCAAACTTTTAAAGAAAAAGGCCAGTTAAATTCAATAAAATGAGACATGGGAGTATACAACTCCAACCAATTTATGAAATACTCAGAATGCATACCGGATTTTCATATGTTATTCTTAACTCCCTCGTCTACATTCACACAAGATGAATGATCGGTACCTGCGCATTCTTTAATGTTATCCAGAGAAAGCCCCCCACCCCTTTCCACACACACAATCTAAACAATTATAGCATTTCGTTTTGGTTTTCAATAAACTTAAATCATTGTGAACTGAAAACGAAAAGCAATATCATGTTAAAACTAAAATCATTGTGAACCGAAAACGAAAAGCACCATGTTTAAACTAAAATCATTGTGAATCAAAACGGATTATACCTACATCAGCACTCTATATCAGTGTGAATCAAAAAAGATAACCACCACAAATAAACTAAAAGCATTGCGAACCACACTCAATCATAAACTTAAATCATTGTTATCACAATCAAACATCCTGAATCATTGTGGTAATCGGTAATTACCATTTTCATCTTACGTTTAAACTTCTAAACAAATCAAAATAACATTTATAATTTAAAGGAAAAAATGTGCACTCAAATATTTGATTTTCAAAAATACAGACTAATAAAAATTAAAGTGAATGTGGTCTGCTAAAAATAAATATAATTGCCGCCTTCCTAAAAGGCAGTTTGTATTACTTGGAAATATATAAATTTGTAATAGGGGTAAGCATAAGTTAACAACAGAAGCATTGGCTATAAGAAGGATGGTACCATCGGAAACTGGCAGGTCATCAGGTCATCAGCAGCGGTACTGACCTTTCGGACCTTCAATCGTATTATATATATTTCTGAATGCACGATACGCGTTTCTGGAGTAACCATAATAGCAATACCCATACAAAACGACTTTCCCCCCTTTCCTTTTGTTAATTCTCCTTTCCTTGATTGTGATGTTTCATTGGCTCCTTTATTGAGTATACATAGTTGATTCGATATGGGCGTGTTTGAAGTGAATTCTCGGTTTGCAAAGAACGTATTTTCATTACTAAAAAACCATTACAGTAGGGATACATATATAATAAATTTGTCAAACATTTACTATTTTTACTGGTAAAAAATATAGAAACTGTTTGAGGGAGTTAGTTTTATCATGTCTTCTTGTACTATTTATGACGCTGTTGTATGAAATTTTCTATGAAGTTAACAGCAGTCGATAGTAATCAATAGACGGCACGATTTGTTATCACCAGATTATAAAAGTACTTTGAGCTTGCATTCAGTAACATCTTGTAAGACGGTATACTTTGTTGTTTTATTTATTTTGGTGTTTGTCAACTTTTTTTATTTTGTGCTTTATTACTAACTATATCGTCATTTTCAATTTTATGTACGTTTTGCTAATCTGTTGATCGAGATTTGAAATAAGAGGGTTGAAATCTACAATCATTGTCATGTGTCTGTCATAATAAGGATATCGACCCATGTCCCATTGTCATGTGCCTGTCCTATTTTCATGTGCCTGTCTCATTTTTATGTGTCTGTCCCATTGCAATGTGCCTGTCCCATTGTCATGTGCCTGTCCAATTGTCATGTGTCTGTCCCATTGTCATGTTCCTGTTCCATTGTCATGTGTCTGTCCTATTGTCGTGTGTCTGTCCCATTGTAATGTGTCTGTCCCACTGCCAGTTCTTGTCCTTCACGGAAGTAATCAGTCTTCCACACTCTTTTGTCATTTTTTCCAGTACAATGAATTTTTAACAGGTAGGCATAGTTCCCATTGTCATGTGTCCGTCCCATTGCCATGTGCATGTCCCATTGTCATGTGCTTGTCGTATGTCATATCGTAATATTGCTAGTTATTTAGAGAATTTGGTTTTAAGGGACGGCCTTATATTGTTTCTGTTGAATTTATTCACAACTTCGCGCTTGGCACTTTTTATAGACGTATTGTTGTGACTTGAACAATGTATGTTGTCCCAGCTCTAGATTTTTTGTTGATATTTTGTTGTTGGTTTGCTGTTATCTGTTTTGAGCAAAATCAAAAGTTGTTAAACTGTTAATGGCCCCCCTCTTGCCCCTTCTTTTTATTTGGAAATAAAATCTAATTTTGGAATTCCTCTCCATTGTTCTCAGCCAATCAAAAGTACTGATTCTTATGAAATATGTATGTTATATAATTATCAATTGATATTATTTTATTATATAAAAGGGAATATGAATATCTGAGGTAAGAAAGATTCAAAGATTAAAGTAACTTTTGAAATAGAAGAATAAGTAATGGGGAATTTCGGTTTTACAAATTCAAATCTCTTTCTTATATAACAATCGCTAAACATGTCAGAATTCCTTTATCATTTAACATCAATTCTTGAATATAGAGCGATGGCTGCTTCCTTTGATATGTTTTGCAGTAAAGACTTGGACCTGCCAGAACTTTGTTTACGGTAATGATTATATTGCCTCATTATCTCATTCAGAAGATATTTACGTTTGTGTACACTGGATTCCTCTTATTCCGTAATTCGTTTGTTACAACTTTATTGTGATATTCCTTAACGATCGGTAGTTAATATGAGTTCCAAGAAAACAGGATATGCTGGTCAGTATCTCCGGGAGGGTAAGTATAATAATTAAAGTGTATCCTCATACCGTTCGCTGGATTGCTCTGTAGCCAAGGGTAAGTTTCATCCGGGTAAAATAAATTTTATCTAGCACGACCATGCGTTATATTTATAATTAAATGCATTCGTCTTTTAAATCTGTAAATCTTATTATATTGCGAAAACTTCGTTAAATAATTTTACGCAGCATAAACATCAAATAGTGTTTCAAAAATCCTCTATTTATATAATTGATGGCGTAATTTGAAGGCGTAGGAATTTCTTTTAATCGATTACATCTAGTAAATAATGAGGCGGATATATTTTCCAAGGCGTTCAGTCATCCCATAGATTACACCCCTTTACAACTTTAACAATAGTTGTAACTTAAGAAAGTGATATTATTCTCTAAAATAGAGTTGGTTTTTCCACATATTGAATTTCCGATTTCTGTATAATTTAAAGTAAGCTGGAAGAGTTACTGTCGTCAGTTCGCCTAAATTCATAAGCACAGTTTACACAGGTAAGCATTATTCTATATACAAATGGTAATGTTTATGTCAACTCATACATTTCTTTCTAGTCTGACTTCTTTTATTTACTTTTACAACAATATTATTTAAAAAATACAAATTTTAAAACCTACCAAATTATTTTGAACGGATTTTCTAAACTAAGTTAGACGTAGCATTTCAAAACCATAGAAATCATACAGTTATGCAAATTTGCCTTGAGCTTACTTGTTTGATTGTTCAAGTTTATAGGTTCCCAGTGTGTAATTTATTTAAGATACATGAAAGAAGATTGATAGACACTGTTTGAAATGCAAATGTTCGTTTCAACCTTGTTGCACAATTAATGAACGGGAAAAGAAGTAATTCCAAGGACAGCCAAGTCGCAATTTCTACTTTGCAGTGAACATATTTCTATTATAGAAATAAGATCTAAAAGCACAAAAAGGGAGCAAATAATATTTAATTGTTTTTTCATTGTTGCAGACATAAAAGTTCCAAAATGGGCGCCAAAATATCCTCAAAGAAGCTGCAGCCTAAAACTATCAACGAACTTCAACATCACATTGATGTAGACTTTACAAAAGATGAAATTCAAGATTGGTACAAAGACTTTGAGAAACATCTTGGCGAAGGTGAAACTGCTCTTTCAAGGACAGCATTCATCAAAGTCTATAACAGCTTGTTTGACGGTGATGCTTCAACGTTTGCTGGACAGGTTTTTCGAACTTTCGATGTAGACAATAATAATATGGTTGATTTTAAAGAGTTTATTTTGGGATTGTGCATGTCTGGAAGTACAGACCCAAATGTTAAACTGAAATGGGCTTTCAGTATGTATGATATTGATCAAAATGGATATATCTCTCAGGATGAAATGAACCATATTCTCAACGTAAGTCATTGTACTTGTTTATTTATAAGCTAAATGAATATGCAAAATATTAACGATATGATACCTTTTTTCAGTTAACAATTAAAATTCTTACATGAAATTTGTATAATAGTTGTCTTTACTTAAACATCTGTCCCTTTAACAAGCATACGATGCATGGTCGGTGCAATGCATTCATGTTATTTTGCGCTTTTCTATAGATTTTTTGTTTGATTTTAGTCAAAATGTATTTGCTATTGTTTTCGGTAATTTCTAAAAGAGGTAAACAACCAATTGATGTAATCTTTACTGACAATGTGGGTTGATCCCGCCAAATACGAGAGAAACTATGTCATCTCCGGCCTTTAAATACTGTAAAGGCAACTATAATATTACGTAGCCATTAAGGTTAATCTAACAATACAGTAGTTATAAAATCTGGGACCAATAGATATACTAGTCCCGTACTGAATTATAAAACAAAGTATGAGAGATATTTTTTGTGTCTAATTTGACATTCAGCAGGTGCGCTGGAGACCCAAAATTTGATAAACGTTTCTGATTGAAGTAATATGTAAATGGTGATAATATAACCACTATAAGAGAAGGGAAGGATATAATTAGTTTTTAAATCCATTGTACAGCAACACATGTTCTGCATTTGACCATATGTAAATCATTTAGATAGCAGTTTTATTCACATCATTATATTGTACTAATTATGTTTTGTTTTTATTGGTTAGGCTGTATGCAAAATGACAAACTGCCGCCTACCCGAAGAATTTACATCAATTGAAAATATGACCAAAAACATTTTTAATGTTCTTGATAAAAATTCGGACAATCAGATAAGCCTAGAAGAGTTTATAGAGGGAGCAGAGAAAATCCAATTTGTGATTGACATACTCCAGTGTGATCCAGCTCCAGATACGTAAACATTCAATGATTTCATATTAAATACTCTCAGGTATAAAGTGCTTCCAGGACCAAAAAACCTTTAAAGGTTTCTGTGCTGGATAGGATTCATGACCTACTATCGATATTTCAACAAAGAGTCATGTTAAGTCATTGTTCTTTTTAGCTGGGACTTAAGCATTTATCTATTGGTCTCCGTCTTTAGGCACAATGAATTTGCATTAAAAACTAAAACATAACACATTATGGAAATGATGTAGAAAAAGATATTTAGTATCGGATTAAACTTGTAACAACAGAAATGCATTCATAATATTCTTTAAAAATACAAGTCCTAGATGGAAATGAAATGTTTTGGTCATTTTGTTATTTTAGCATCAATGTAGAATAAAGTTATTATAGTAAGGAAAATATACTTATATATATATATACTATCTTTGTGATTTTCTTGTTTGTCTTTATAAACAGTTGTTCCAGACCATAAACTTAATCTTGTAATAAATCATTGGTTTACAGTCCCCCAAGACTTGTCGTATAGTTGTGGATTTTCAACCAATTCAGACTGTTATGATTACTTATCATTTCATATTTCCTGGTTTTTGGTGTTTTTAACTTTTAAAATTTATCTCCGATCTAAAGTTTCAAGTATGCAATGAGGAGATGACACACTTTTGGCATGTGGAATTAGGGTATAAAAAAGGGGGATGTGGTATATAGGGGGTAAAAAAAGTAGGGTGTGGGAAAAATTTAAAACAAAAATGTGGATTTGGAAAGTGAGGATCCCTCTGCAATCATGATCTATGTAGTAGCTGCTATGTATGTGAACAATATAAGACTGTAGTAACTGCTATGTATGTGAACCATATAAGAAGCAGTTTTGATTTGTCTTGTTATTTTGGAAGTGATCATCCCTCTGCAGTCATGATCTATGTAGTAGCTGTTATGTATGTGAACCATATAAGAAGCAGTTTTGATTTGTCTTGTTATTTGGAAAGTGAGGATCCCTCTGCAGTCATGATCTATGTAGTAGCTGCTATGTATGTGAACCATATAAGACTGTAGTAGCTGCTATGTATGTGAACCATATAAGACTGTAGTAGCTGCTATGTATGTGAACCATATAAGACGCAGTTTTGACTTGTCTTGTTATTTGAGTTAGTATTGTACAAATTAATGTCGTGGCGGTTAATGTTTGGATCTGTTATGTGATAAAATTATCAAAAATTGTATAGTTGAAACATTGAGTTTATGATCAGGAAGAAAATGTGCATTGTAGAAAGCATGCACAATATGAGTACCTTCTGGTAGTATTTTTTTTACCCACTTTTACATAACAAGGCGGCTCCGTGTTAATGGCCGTACTTTGACCTATAATTGTTTACTTTTTACACATTGTGACTTGGATGGATAGTTGTCTCATTGGCACTCATACCACATCTTCTTATTTATATACCTGATTAATTACTTGGGCGCACTTTTAATCTTGGAACGATTTTTCAGTTTCTAAACTGTATAGAAACACGAGCACTCAAGGAACAATTTATACGGTATGTTCAGACAAAAAAATCACAGAAAAAGAATTATAAACTGTTGCAGTTGTAATAGGTGTGTTCAGATATATCGCTCCGGTAGCCTTGAATAGTAACCAAAAATAACCAAAACTTAAAATTACTGTGCGAGTTCACTGACATATTTATGAATCTTGATTACACCTGTAATGTGCTACATAAATTAAAATATTTAAATATTAGGATGAATAGCGTGACTTTCTGTTGAACTTTTTTCAGTGAAATGACACCGGTGTATATACAGATTGAATTCAGACGTTTTTGTCTGTCAGTTTATAGACAAAGTAAATCAAAACCAAAAAGTGTTAAGCAGACCAAATGAAGGTAGTTACTAAACGTGTCAACTAAAAAAATACAAGAAATAAAAAAATGCAAATAACAAATGCAAGCAGAAACCAAACGTGTCAATAACAAAAGCAAGCAGAAACCAAACGTGCCAATAACAAATGCAAGCAGAAACCAAACATGTCAATAACAAAAGCAAGCAGAAACCAAACGTGCCAATAACAAATGCAAGCAGAAACTAAACGTGCTAACAACAAAAGCAAGCAGAAACCAAACGTACCAATAACAAATGCAAGCAGAAACCAAAAGTGCCAATAACAAAAGCAAGAAGTACTGAACCAAATATGCTAGAAAGAACAAACGAATGGAACCTTCATCAAACGTGTCAAAAAGAAAAGAAAAAATACAATACACTTCATCACATAATGATAATAAAAGAACAAGGAAATGCTATGCAAGTTAGTTGTGATCAAACTGCACTGACGTTTCTTCAGTAAGGTATACTTTTGAAGATGAAAAAGGATGTTCGGTACATAGTCAATATCAAGTAATAAATACTTCAAAATCAGATACTCTTTACATAGATGCAATGATTTTACATGTTATCATATTATCATTTTTGAATAAGGCGACACAAAGCCGGAATATATTCGTGGTAAAGGCATGTTAACTCACAATAGTGGGTATATCAAGTTACCGTGTGTATACATTTCTGCAATATTCTTTCATGGAAAAGGTAATAAATAAAATCCTAAATTATATAAGAAGGTGTTGGTTTCGATCGGGAATATGATTCAGTTATTGAGTCAGTGTCGACAAAATATCAGGTGTACAAATCACTACCAGAACATTTTGATTTGGAAAGAGAAAAAAGCCCCCAAAATACCTATATATGGATATATTTTTAGACAATTTTAAACCATAAAATGCAGGTAAAGCAAATGAAAACGATGCAAATTTATAAAACCAAAACGAGAAAAGGTAATTTATATATTGGTTTGAATGTACCCATATTTGCAAATGAAATTGAAAAAGCAGATAAAAAATTGAAAAATTAAAAAGCATATGGTGATGATCTCATTCTAAATGAGTATTTAAACCACTCATTTCGTATTTTATCTGATATTCTCGTAAGGCTGTTTAATATTCTGTTTGTCAGCGGCATAATTCCCGAGATTTGGCTATTTTGGAAGAAGTATATAAAAATGGAGATGCGGTATTATTGTCAATTAGACATCTTTCCACTTCATACCAATTGACGAAAAAGTATTGGTGACGGCATTCAACAATGAGCAAAACCAATATCTCATAGCAATCTATAAGAAGCCCCGATATGACAAATGTAAAACAATTCAAGGAGAAAACTAACGATCTGATTCACTTTTTTTTCTTTAGATGTTTTTTCTTGGTCTTGAAGATTAGCTTCTGTCCAAGTTTCATAACAATCCATGAAGGTTTACAAATTTATCATGTAAACAAATTTTAATCCCAGACTGTCTGTAAATGTTAACTGTAAATCAAAGTGCTGGATAGCACCTCTGGAAAGTTTGCAACTGTAGATGTGTATTATTTCAAATAGGTTATAGATGTGTATTATTTCAGATAGGTTATAGACGTGTATTATTTCAAATATGTATTTAATCACAGCTTTGATGTTTTTAACTAAACCTTTGTCTCGTCAGCAATGATCAAAAATCACTTTTTTTTCATATGTTTGTCATAGAAAATTTTGATATTTTCTATTGCAACCTTAAACTGTAGATCTAAAATAATCAAATACATAGAAAGCTCTGTTAATTTCTTCATGTGCCCATGCCATGTCAAGGGCCTGTGAATTTAATATTTTTCTATTGGTTTAGGTCCTTCATATTTGTTTTTAGTAAAATGTTTTGTTACTGATTAACCCGTAAGTTTTCTTGTTTGAATTGTTCCACATGTTTCATATCAGAGTCTTTTATAGCTAACTATATGGTACAAGTTTTTCTCATTGTTGACGACAGTATGGTGGCCTATAGTTGTTAATATATCTTCCTCCTTTAAACTCTTTTGGATAGCATTGGTTCATTTGCAAAAAATACCACATTTTTTTTTTAAATAAAACAGTTAACTTAAATCAGTACAACTGTAATGAAAGTGAATTTATATTGAAGGCTGTGATCAATAAATAGGGAATGTGTCCATGACACAAATGATGCCCCCGCTAGCATTAACGTTATTAAGGGTCACAACTCAAGAACTGTAAATGTGACGCTACCAAAATTTGCACTTGATCTGAGTTTTGGGGTAATAATCATTGTGTATACATTCTTCACATTAAGTTGAGGCAAACTTAAGTTAAAGAACGGAATCGAAAAAATCAGCAATTTTTTCATTTGTAACTGGGCACAACCCTAGAGCAGTAACTAGAGGCTCTAAAGAGCCTGTGTCGCTCACCTTGGTCGATGTGCATATTAAACAAAGGACACACATGGATTCATGACAAAATTGTGTTTTGGTGATGGTGATGTGTTTGTAGATCTTACTTCACTGAACATTCTTGCTGCTTACAATCATCTCTATCTATAATGAACTTTCAGTTTCAGAGGAAAATATTTTGTAAAAATTTACAAAAAATTTACAAAATTTATGAAAATTGTTTAAATTGACTATAAAGGGCAATAACTCCTAAAGGGGTCAGGGCAGATAGAAATTGACCTGATAAACAATTTAACCCCCTTTGTCAGATTTGCTATAAATGCTTTGGTTTCAGAGATATAAGCCAAAACCTGCATTTTATCCCTATGTTCTATTTTTAGCCATGTCGGCCATCTTGGTTGGCGGACCGGGTCATCGGACACATTTTTCAAACTAAATACCCTAGTGATGATTGTGGTCAAATTTGGTTAAATTTGGCTTAGTAGTTTCAGAGGAGAAGATTTTTGTAAAAGTTAACAGACGACGGACGCCAAGTGATGAGAAAAGCTCACTTGGCCTTTTGGGCCAGGTGATCTAAAAATGACTCCAACTAAATTCAAACTTGATCTTGGTTTTATGGTTAAAAGTATTGTGTATAAGTTTGATAACATTTGGTTGAGCGAACTAAAGTAAGATAACGGAAACGAAAAAATTCAGCATTTTTTACATTTGTAAAGGGGCATAACTCTAGAACGGTATAACTGACGTCACCAACATTCAAATTTGATCAGTGTTTTGTGGTAATGAGCATTGTATGTAAGTTTCATAACATTTGGTTAAGACAAACTAATGTTAGAGAACAGAAACTAAAGACTCCAGCAACTTTTCTATTTGTAAAGGAGCATATAACTCTAGAATGGTAAAAGTGACGCCACCTAAATTCAAACTTGACTTGTGTTTTGTAGTAATAAGCATTGCGTATAAGTTTCATACAATTTGGTTCAGGCAAACTCAAGTAAGAGAACAGACGCCAATTTTTGGATTTACGGACGTACGTACAAGTAAGGGACGTACATACTTACAGTTCTAAGAACAACTCAATACGGCGGGGGCATAATAATCGCAGTATGACCACGGACTAAAAAGTTTATATACAATTCATAGAGGTGCTTATAACCCTGTAACACATTTTAGTT